ACTAATGGTAAACTCAGTGGTGGGCCGTCAGGGCCTGCAAGGCCTTCTCTGAAGGCCTAAGAAAATATCTGAATCACAGACTGATGTTAATGATATTTTGTCCATAAAAAAGGTATTAAATATCTCTAAATAGTCTGTCAGCTTCCTTTTATAGCTTCTCCCCTGGTTGCGCTGCTTCCAGACATGTATTTTCATATAAAAGCATTTAACCAATCACATTTCAGACATCCTTTGTCGCTAGGCAGGGTCAAAGTCAAAGATGTCTGCCTGGAGGCCTTCACAATCCGTTCTGCAGGCCCCCCCCCACAGAAAATACATGTCGAGTACACTGTTGCTTCAACCAATCAGATGTTAGGTTGGTGATGCCGGGGCCTGCGCGAAGGCCCAGGAAATGCCACCGTACCCACACCCCCTGATTGGATAGTCAGATATCCAATCAAGGCAAAGCTTGCAAACAAACCGAAATATAGTTGTGTTAGTTAGTGTAATAGCTATTTTATTATTTCGTGGCGGATTTACTGTCAAGACCATTTTCAAAACGGACTTTTCAAGAAAAGTAAGTGAGTAAAATTTTGTTTTTTTCCTAAATGGTATTGCGAGTTTATGAGGACATCATTGATGTTTTTGTTTTGTTTGTTTTTTTTTGGGGGGGTAGCTGCAGGAGTAGAAGGTGCACCCTTCTACTCCTGCACCCCTGATCTTTAGACTGTATTTTAGGATTGTCCTGATCCGATATTTGGATCGTATCGGCCGGCATGAGAAAATGCCAATCGAGACTCCAGATACATTTTTTTTTAAAGTCCGATCCCACCGAGCATTAGCATTAGCATTAGCATCTCCTAACCCACAGGTCTGTGTAAACTTTAGTTGTTATAAGAGTAAATCCCTGTTCAACATGAGTCTGACAACTAAGTAAGTAGAATAAAAAAATCAACTTTAATACAAAAAGCTGGATCGGGACATCCCTACTGTATTTCTACATATTAAGATGATTTCTATAACCATAAAATAGTTATTGAGGGGTGAATTGATTCAGACGGAGCACTACTGAAGGCCTAGGTGTAAAATGCACGGCCCGCCACTGGGTAAACTAAATGTAAACTGACTGGAAACTAAACATAAACTGAATGTAAACTGAATGTAAACTAAACCCAAACTAAGGGTAAACTAAATGTAAACTGAATGTAAACTAAACATAAACTGAATGTAGACTGAATGTAAACTGAATGTAAACCGAATGTAAACCGAATGTAAACTAAACCCAAACTAAGGGTAAACTAAATGTAAACTGAATGTAAACTAAACATAAACTGAGTGTAAACTAAAACCAAACTAAGGGTAAACTAAATGTAAACTGAATGTAAACTAAACCCAAACTAAGGGTAAACTAAATGTTAACTGAATGTAAACTGAATGTAAACTAAACATAAACTGAATGTAAACTAAACCAAACTAAGGGTAA